ATAATTGGAGAGTATTTAAAATTTTTAAAGTTTTTTCATTTCAAAATATATTAAAATAATATTTTTTTAAAAATTATTTTTTACATCAACATATCAAAATAATCTAAAAATATCAAAAATATATTAATTTAAAATAAAAAAAATAAAAAATTACAATTAGTTTTTTATAATAAAATTGTTTGGAGGAGCGCGCACACTCTCATACATAGGGTAAAAATTTGTTTTTACCATGTCATTTAATTACTCTTGGCAGTTAGTAGCTACTTGGTTTTAATGGACGGATAATCACCGATGTTTTTTTTTCTTTTCTCTCTCTTTTTTCTTGATATTCATGCCTAATACTTAAAATTTTAAAGCAATCACATTGGTTAAGTATACTTAAGTATTAGTGCTCATTTTTTTAATTGTTTAATTTTTTTTTAATTGTCCATTGCCTCTTTTGTAAACTTGTAATTGTTTTCCATCTCATTCTTTAATTAAATTTTTTTTATTTTTATATATTTGGTTTTTATTCTTTTTTGGTGGTTTTTATTTTTCTTTAATTATTTTATAAAATTATTTTTTCTTTTCAATTTAGCCCTTCAATACAATATTATTCATTCTCTTCTTTTTCTTCTTTTCAGATTTGATTTTCATTTTTCTAGTTGTTATTTTTTCTTTTGAATTTTTTTTTGTAATTGATTTTATTTTTTTTAGTTTCATCATTTGATATTTAATTTATTAAAATTTGAATTTTATGTTTTTTCAAGATTTGTTGTTTATAGTCAAATGGTTTTGGTCATGGGTTCGCATCATTTTTTTTTACTTATTGTATTTTTTAATTTCATTACCAGGTGTCAATTTTTTTTGTTTATAGATCAGACTTCTTGTTTTTTTTATATAGATTATTTGAATCCTATAATATAACTCTTGAATTTAATAGATTAGCTCAAGTAGATTCACATATTTTTTTAATTATTTTTTTTAGATTTTTTTATATACTTGATTTTTTATTTTATTTTTTAATATTTAACTTATTAGAAATTAAACTTTATTTGTTTTCATGTTTAGTGATTTTAATTAAAAGGTTCAAGACGTGAGTTTTATAAGTTAATACAAGTTAGATTTTTTTTCTTATTTCTTTTGTTTTCACATTAATTTTTCTTATTTAATATTTTTTTTCTTTTAAATACATATACGTCTAATGAATATTATTTTTTAAAAAGAAAATTATCCAACATGCAATGGAAGAATGCCGGACATGTAATTGGTTGTAAATATTTCTTGTAGGAAGTCGTCATTATATTGTAATAATACGTTGTATAACTAATCTATTGCAGTTCAACTAACAATTGTCTCTCTTTTTGTTTTTGGTTTTTTCAGAAAATTTAAGTTTGAAATATCTTTTGAATGATAAAAGAACAAATAACAAATCATTGGTCAAACAATTCTAGTTCATATAATTTCGATCCGTGTAATAATTTTTCGATAGAAGGATGAAAAACACGTATTTATGCTCTCTTTTTTTGGTGAAAAATATGTAATTTTAAAGTCTTACAATGGTCTATTATTTATGAAACTTTTCGATTCTCCCTGACCCTTGACTCCACTGATCCTAAGTGATTTTTTTTCTAAAAAAATAAATAATAATAAACTTAGAGACTATGGAACAATAAATGATAACTTTAATTTTTATCAATTAAATTATTTATTAATTAATAACGACACAATATTTATAATGATTGTCTATTAAAATTTGTTAAAGCACTAATTAGATAATAACATAGACATCAAAACCTTGGGGAAAATAAAGATTAATATCATTCTAGAGATGCTATATCACCAATAAAATAATAATTTAATTTGCCATGGCCTTGGGCAGGGGAAGAAGCAGGGAAGAGGTGAACAAGAGACTTCGATACCATTGTTTTTTTAACAGGGTGCGAGACAAAGAAGTGGAAAGATTGGTGTGCAGGATGATCTGTTGATCCATATCTTTATGTGATAAACTGATTTATTTAATAATTATTAATAAATTATAACTCAGCAAACATTAATGTTATTTTTTATATAAATAATTTAATTCTACTTAAATATTATCAATAAAAAAATGAAATTCAGATATGAAATCTCTTGGTAAAATGCAAATTAAAAAAAAAAAAGGAAAAACCTAGAAAGCATAGATGATGTCTAGAAGAATCCACAATTTTTCTTTTTTCCTTCAATCTATTCATTGAACTTTTTGGAAAGGAAGAAATTAAAAGGTAAAGGATTAAAATAACAAAATTAGGGAAAAAGTGAAAATTTCGAAGTTGATGATAAAATGTTTGTTTTAATCATTTTATTTTTCAAATCATAACTTTTCAAGTATTTTATTTTGATATAAAGTTTTATTTGTTTTAAAAAAAAATATTATTAAATTTTGATATTAAAAAAATATTGGTTGATATTGATTCTGATCATAAAAATAATTGATTTTAATATAAATAAATTTTATTTAATAAAAAAAATTTAAAAAATGTTTTTTATATTTAAAATATTTTAAAAAATAAATTTAACATTAGAAAGTTTTTGAATTTTAAGTTAATTTTTTTAAAAAAGAAAAACTCTTGCCCTGATTTTTATTTTAGTGACCATTTAATCGCTAAAATCCAGTCACTATCGTTAAAAGAAAAAGATTGCTTTAAAAAAAAAATAAGCAAAGCTTAAGTCCATATGCTTGAGTTGACATATTCACTGCGCCTTTTTTTTTATTATTTTTTTATTAATGTGGGGTGTCCGGGCCAGCTTACGCGCACCACGACTAATCCCCACGGCCTACTGAACACCCTGCAAACCCAGCAGGTAGGTAAGGCAGCGCGGGGCTGACAAGCATGCAACTCCAAGGCTCGAACCCATGGCAGCAAAAGGCACAAAACGCCTACCACCGCTGGGCAATACTTTAGGAGCACCTTTTTTAGCAGGCAGGTAAGACAGCGTGGGGCTGACAGACATGCAACTCCAAGGCTCGAACCCATGGCAGCAGAAGGCGCAAGATGCCTACCACCGCTGGGCCAATGGCTTAGGTGCACCTTTTTTAATTAAGGCTCAGGTGGAGGCCGGCACTCTTGGAATTTATTTTTTTGGTTGTTTTTTATGTTTGATAAAAAAATTTAATTTAATTTTTTAATTTTATCATTTCAAAAAATTTAATTTAATTTAATTTAATTTTATCATTTTATCATTTAATATTTTATTTATTTTAAATTTTTCTTCATGAATTATTTTATTAAGTTATTCTAATCTAATTTATTCTGTAGGTATTTGATTTTACTATTATTGATTGAGTTAATCTTTACACCGTTTACTTAAAAAAATAAAGTAGCCACGCCTCTTTTGTTTTTTAAATTTTATCTAAATAAATAAGAAAGTGGCCGAACCAACTCTATCAACTGTCTTACACAAATGGAGTCAACAGCATCAGCCTCCTTCCTCCTCCTCCTCCTCCTCCTCATCCTCCTCCACCACAATTCTTCAGCCACAACACCAACCCTGCCCACTTCAAACTCTAGTTTTCCCAATGAAGCGCTACCTACAAAAGCTGGGTACCTCCCAGTCAACCCGAAAACCAACTCAGCCATTTTCTACACTTTCTATGAAGCTCAACACCCAACTTCACCTCTCTCTCAAACCCCACTTCTCATCTGGCTTCAGGGTGGTCCTGGATGCTCCTCCATGGTTGGGAACTTCCTCGAACTGGGCCCTTATCGTGTTGTTTCTGATTCCGAAGAACAAAACGTTACTCTTCAACCCAATCTAGGCTCATGGAACCGCATTTTTGGCCTCCTTTTCCTTGATAATCCTATAGGAACTGGGTTTAGTATTGCTGCTAAGCATGAAGAAATACCAAGAGATCAAAACACTGTTGCTAAGCATCTTTTTTCTGCAATAACTAAGTTTCTTGAATCAGATCCAGTGTTCAAGACTCGTTCGATCTATATAACTGGTGAGAGTTATGCAGGAAAGTATGTTCCTGCAATAGGACATTACATTTTGAAGAAGAATATGAAGCTGCCTGTGTCAAAGCAAGTAAATCTGAAAGGTGTTGCTATAGGTAATGGGTTGACAGATCCTGTGACACAGGTGAGAACTCATGCTGTGAACGCTTACTTTTCTGGTTTTATCAATGAAAGACAAAAGAGGGAATTAGAGGAAGGTCAAAAGGAGTCAGTTAAGTTAGTTAAAATGGGAAATTGGAGTGCGGCAACGAATGCAAGAAGTCGGGTCTTGAGTTTATTGCAAAACATGACAGGGCTAGCTACGATGTATGACTTTACTAGGAGAATGCCTTACGAGACAAGGTTGGTTGCGGAGTTTTTGCAATCTGTCGAGGTGAAGAAGGCATTAAGTGCAAATGAATCTATAGTTTTTGAGCACTGTAGTAAAATGGTGAGGGAAGCATTGCATGAAGATCTGATGAAGAGTGTCAAGTACATGGTGGAATTCTTGGTAAAGAATACCAAGGTATTGTTGTATCAAGGGCATCTTGATTTGAGAGTGGGTGTGGTTTCCACTGAAGCTTGGATTAAGACAATGAAATGGGAGGGAATAGGGAAGTTTCTGATGGCTGAAAGAAAGATATGGAAAGTGAACGGAGAGCTTGCCGGGTATGTTCAGAAGTGGGGGAGTTTGAGCCATGCCTTGGTGTTAGGAGCTGGACATCTTGTGCCTACTGACCAGGCAATAAATTCTCAGGCTATGGTAGAGAACTGGGTTTTGGAAAGAGGAGTCTTTACTCGTGAGCAAGAGGAGGATTCTGCATCAGGATTGTTGGACGCACTCTGAAATTAGTATTTGAATCAAATTCGCATGGATTTTTTAGGCTTTCAGGCAATTGTTTGTAGTGAATATCAAGACAGAATCTTTGTTTCCTCGAAGCCTTTTCAAATAGATCGAGGAAATAGATGAACATTGAGAACAATGTTCATCTATGATTTAATTTGTCCAGAGTAATGGACTATCATGCTGGAAATATATAGTGATAAATACAAGTCGGACTATGATTTATTAATGCCAGAAATAGGCAGTTCTTGCACAAGAAAATCATAAGCGAAAGTAAAGTTCTAACAGCCTTGTTTAATTCGCAATCTGAAACGTGAATTTCTTGGCTCGTCTCACACTAAGAACAGACCATTCTTATGCATCCATCCGGATGATACACCTGAGGCTAGCTCCACTGAGCATGTACTCAAAAGCCTTGTTGATTTCAGAGAAGGGGACTTCATGGGTGATAAATTTCTCTAGCTCCAGCTCCTGTACATACTACAACTAGTGAGGATAACAGACTGTTTTGCATTGTGATATAATGCTTCAAAGCCAGAGGAGGAATGGCTACTTTATTGCTAATGTTCATGTTCTTTAAATGAAAGCAATTCACTGTTAAAGATCATTCTAGTTAGTTTGAGAAACTTCACATACAGATCTGCTTCCGATCTACTCTAATAGAAACCACAATTCTGCTGGATGTGGAGAGATGATTAGGAACGTATGCACCTACTGAATTTGATTAGTGGGGACTGAACTTACCTTGTTCATATATTTTTCTACGACGGAAGGAAGGTCGGAACGTGGCTTATAGTTTCCAAAGAAAGTACCCTTGAGAGTCCTCTCATTCAATATATTCATTGGATGGGTTTTGAAAGCGTCATCTTTGTTCGGCACGCCAACTAGTACAGCAACACCCCAACCCTGCAAAGAAATCCAAAATGTGAAACTGATTTAGGTGTTTTTGATGTATTTGGTTTTTTTCTTTCTTCTCGAAAGGCTAATGGCTAGAACAGTTTTCACACGAACTTACATCATGGACGCATTCAAATGCGGAAACCATGGCACTGATACTTCCTGTGCACTCAACACTTCGATCAACTCCTCCATTAGTCATATCAGCTATCACCTAAAGACAGAAAAATCAAAATTAGAGCTGAAGCAATAGGTTTGCTTGAACCCTTTCCCACGAACATGATTTCTCTTCTTACAAACCTCTTGGACAGGCTTGTCATGATCTTTTGGATTTACAAATTCGGTCACTCCAAACTTCTTGGCTGTTGAAAGAAACATCGGAAATCAGCTGTTGGATAGCATATTAAGCATTTCTTATCAGAATATGTCAGTACTATCACCGGGAAACAACAGCAAAGATACTCGATGATATGCATATCAGTTTCGTCTTAGTTACTTGACAGTGCTAAAGTCCTCTGTGCAGCATCCTGTGTTTACTATTATGGACATCATTTCGATCCCCCCCTCTCTCTCTGTTTTTTTTTACTTCTTTGCAGTAACTGAGTAGATTTAGATACACCATATGTCTGCTACATAATTGTAATGCAGCCAACAAGTTAAGGCAGGAATGGATAAAGAACCCAAAGGCAAATGAAACAAGAATAGGATTTTACTAAATGTTTGGTTTACCTTCTTCAAATCTGTTGGAATTCAAATCAACACCAATAATCCTTGAAGCGCCAGAAATCCGAGCCCCTTCTGCAGCCTGATCATGTCATATAATAGAAGCAGTTTTAAAATAAGCAGCGGCCTAGCATCTGAATTCAGAAATGGATAGAAAAAATTCCTTTGTTTAGTGCTTTGGAAAAGAAACTTACAGCAAGGCCAACGGCTCCGAGTCCAAAAATGGCCACAGAAGAGCCTTTATTTGGCTTAGCAACATTCAAAGTGGCACCAAGACCTACAGCACAAAACCAAATCCTCATTAAAAGAAGGTAACAAATTCTGTATTCATGTAAGAACAATTGAATTGCTGTTTTAAGCCAACCTGTAGAAATTCCACAGCTGAGGACACATACTTTGTCAAGTGGAGCAGCTGGATTGATCTTGGCAGCACAGCCAACATGAACCACAGTGTACTCACTGAAGGTGGAGGTACCAACAAAATGGTAAATTGGCTGCCCTCTAATTGAAAATCTAGACTTGCCATCATTCAGCATCACCCCTCTGTCAGTGTTGATCCTAAGAAGATCACACATATTACTCTCCTCTGATTTGCATTGTCGGCATTCCTTACACTCTCCTGTGAAGACGGGAAGCACATGGTCACCAGGCTTGAGGTCTGTCACACCCTCACCAACACTCTCAACAATCCTACACCACCCCAAAAGAAAAATGGAGACGTGAGCAAAAATTATCGAATTAGTCACCCCAATTCATCACTATCAAAATAAACAAAAGCATAATCCAAGTTCAGCAAGCAATGACTAATGGCTCAAATTCATACGCTCCAGCTTCATGACCAAATATGCGAGGAAATAATGGGGTTTGCCCCTGCAATTTTAAAACCAATGTTATATTATCAATCTCTGCAAGCACAACTAGAAACGCTAGCGCATAAACAAGATCACATGCATGATTCAGTAGCAATCACATACCTTGGCTTCCCAGAAGTAAACATCAGTATGGCAGAGAGAAGTGAAGAGAATCTTCAAACGAACCTCCATAGCCTGAGGTGGTGCCACCTCCACTTCCTCTATCATTAGTGGCTTTCCAGCTTCCCATGCTACAGCAGCTACAATACAACCATCCCATCATTTAAAAAAAAAAATTAAATACATTGACCTATTAAAGCATCGTTCAAAAAACATTATATCATATTTTTAAAGGCCAAAATTACAGTTAAATCAATCAAATTCATAATCTAGTTCTCCTCTTCTTATTATTTTTTTTTTAATAGTAATTATGAGTGAGTTCTCTAATTCTCCACACAATTTGATCTCACCGTCTGGTTGAAAACAAGATTTTTCATAAACAAAAAAGAATCTGGCACTGTTAAACACGCAAAAACAATCTCATTCCCAAGATTTAAGAAGGCAGAAGGAAACATACTCTGTAATAGCAGTTTGTCTATTACCTTTACAACGTATGACCTGACCAGCAGTGCTTGCCATTCTTCGCATAACCTGACCAGCAGTGCTTGCCATTCTTTCTCGTTATTCTCTTGACGTAACAAACCTGTTTTCTTTGATCACTTTCCTCTGTTTCTTGAGTTCTGAAGTAGCTCTGTGGGGGTGTTTCACTATTTATAGCGGCAGAATCTAGTACTCCAGTTGGCCTTTAATTTTCTACCAGCTATATTCTTATGAGAAATTCCAAATACATTTTAAAGATGTTCGACAAACAATGGTAAATGGCTGAAATCCTCCATAACGTCTGTGCAACAGAAAATGAATGCAGCACATATTATGGAGAATCATTCGATTCTTCCTCATTACATTTTCGCTAGAATCTCCTTTTCTGCGTGCCTACATGGTTTTTATTCTTTTCCAAAATACTTATGTGTATATTTCTCTTTCGTTAAACATATAAAAAATAAAAAATTGTTTCCTATATTGCTCAATCCACATATCAAAAATAAAATTTAGACAAATATTTTAGCAAAGGATGGATGAGGGCACGAGGTTGATTCTCTTGATAAAAACAGAGCTTATGTGGGCTTGTGATTGCCAGTCAGTGATCACCGCTAGTTGCGTTAGCTGTAAAGGGAAAAGAGATGTAGGGTGTGATGAATAGATGGGAGCAAGCAAATCCAGGGTCTCCATTGTATGTCTTGGCTCCCATGGAACACGCATGATTGTTCCCTGGTTTTCCATTTTAAAGAGATTCGAGGCTTCACCACATAAAAAGGTGGCGGAACTCATAAAGCGGCATCCAAAGAAGATGGTTATTGTCATAATTAAAGGATTAAATAAAATGTTACGTAAATTAAAGGGTTTTTTTTTTTTTATCAACCAAAGCAAAAGATTATAGAGAAAGATGAATATATGCGTCCGACCGAAATCTTTATAGATTAATTCAAATTAGATTTTCGTCCAACTGGAACAAACCACGCGTCTCTTATGTGTATTTATTTTTAAAAAGAGGACCCCATTAAATGTTGAATTTCATTTAAGGATTATTTTTCTAAGAAATATTTTCCACGTGAATCCCACATGCTAGCGGAAAGTACGTGTTATAATTGTTAGATATGGAAAGTAAATAGTATATCTGTATACGGTACGGTTATTTTTAAAAATACAAATACAAAAAATAAAATTTAACCATTTTTAATTAAATTAAATAAAATATTGACTTGATAAAATTTAGTAAATCTAATCAAACTTGATTTATCATTGACTAGGTAAAAATTAAAAAAAAATAACATTATTTTAATAAAAAATAATTGATTTTAACTTATCCAATAATTTATCTCATAACCTAATAATTTAGATCCTTTTTTAATATTTTTTATGTCAAGTTTAACAACTATTATAAATAGTAAATATCATTTGCATGGAGTCTCAAATGGGATATTGATGAACAAACTTGAAATAGGTTTAATATAATATTGTGATAACTTTTGTGATTATAGTTTAAAAAAATAAACTTAAATAATATAGTTTTAGTTATGAATTTAAAAAAAAAAAATAGGAGGTTTTGAAAGACATGTTTAATTAAAAGTGTTGTAAAATGGGTTTTTATATATAAAATAAATAAAAAAAAAAACAGATTTTCATAGACAGGTGAGTAAGTTATTTTAACTTATATAAAATAATTATTTGTACATTTAAATATAAAAAACAAAAATTATTCAACTAGTCGAACATTTTTTTTTTTCTCAAAAGCTACTTTTAGAGTCCCACTTTTGTTTTCTTGAAGTTAAAACTCAGCGGGCCCAGACTCGGGGTCGTGTGCTGCGAGTGGGAGTGGAGTGGAGGCTACGCATAGAATATACATCGTATTGTAAGGCCTTCTGTGATGATGTTAGCATAGTGAATGGACCCACCCAAGAGAATACAAAACCAATTGACCCAAAATTATACTGTGTCTCGCCCCAAATCCACTCCAACTTTAAAATTAAAAAACCAAGACATGGGTCAGCATCGATCCTTCAAACCCATGATTTTTTGTGCAGTATTAATTTCGAGTTAGATTTTAAAATTATAATTAAAAAATATATCTAATTAAAAATAAAAAAATAAATATATTTGTTGAATAATTTTGAAGTCAATATTTGAAATCTCAAAATCTCAAATCACGTTTTAAGAAATAAAACTATAATGAATTCTCTGATTTTAACTTAGATGGTATATCTTTGAATAGAATGGAGATGAATTCAAATCTTAATGTATTGAAGCTGATTTCCATTAGACATATATATATATATAAAGAACAAAAGATTTCCATTAGACATATATATATATATATATAAAGAACAAAAAAAAAGAAATGATTTAACTATGGTTCAATGGGGATGGAAACTCTAAATATATAATTTCTTCTATTTTTTTTAGTCCCACCTTATTTAGTAAATAATTTAAGAAATTATGTAAAATAATTTAGTAAATTAGATGAAAAAAATATATGTTTTATATAAACATTTTCAAACTTTTAATCTCATTTATAATAAATTTAAATTTAACTAGCTCAAAACACTTCAAAAACACAAATTTCACAAACGCAACTCTATTATATGGATTTGACACAAGCTAGTGAACAAACCAGAACAAGCCTAAACAACCTTTTTTGGCCTGCTTTTCTTATATTTAGGTGATCTTGAATATATAAGTTGGTCTTGAATAATAAATTGATTCTATTGGTCAAGGTGTATATAATAAGTTAAATGTTTGGATTTTTGTTTTAATTTTGATAGTTTCTAATGTGGCGAGCATAATAATAATATTATTATTATTACATACTTTTAGATTTGATGTTTGAAAAACAATTAAAAACCATATTTGGAAAATTCTTTTTTAAGAGTATGTATTGTGTTCCTTGAAACTACATGGAGGAAAAGAACCTTATAGGTTTGGAAAAGAAGAAAAATTCAAAACCAATTTCAGATGCAAAGAATGAAATTAATTCTCTCTCTTTTTTTATTTTTTATTTTTTTCCAGTTATCTTTCTCTTGCTATATACTCTTCGGGATTCTATGGATGGAAGCTCTGTGGACTCGCCCAGCACATTTGAATGCCTTCAGCTAGACGGCACATATAAACAAATAATATTTCTTAAGATGCTTTATAGTTGGAGAACAGCTTGTCTATGTTAAGCAAATCTTCAAGGACCTGTATTTCAAGGTAGTGATTAGCATATTGTTTTTTAAATTACTAAAAAAACATATATCAAAATATTATATTTTTTATTTTTTAAAATTTATTTTTAATATCAATAAATTAAAATGATCCAAAAATATAAAAATAAAAATAAAAATTTTAAATACAATACATAGCTTTTATGAAAAGAAAATCACACGTTACTTCATATGTTGAGCTCTTGGATTAATTATAGGTTTAGAAGTCATTGTTACACACAAGTGCCTTTTTTTTTTTTGGACGCAATATTAATTAAGTATAAAGCTAGGTGGAGGGAAACATTGTTTTCTTATATTCATTTGAATTATATTAGTAATCCATGCTTTTTTTTGTTATTGATTTTTTTAATTTAAATTTTTTATGAGGATTTAGAGTTAATAATTTATTTTAATATTTTTTTATATAGTTATTAAGGTATCAAAAAAAAAATATCTCAACATTGCAGTATTGTTTATTTAAAAAAAATTAATTAAAAAATAATTTTAAAAAAACATAAGTTATTAAATCTTGTAGAATCAATGATTTATTTTATAAGTTTGATGAGGGACATGATTCCTCTGCTTAATAAGATTAGTATATTAAAAATATTTAAAAATGAAAAATAAACTTAAAATGAAAAATAAAAAATTTATAAAATTGCTGTTACAATCGCAACATTGAGGACCGTTTCATTGATCATAACCCATTATATTCACAGTTTTTAAGAATAATAAAGCACCGACCATCTCTGAATTGTCAAGTTTTTTTTATAATGATAAAGTATTGATTTTATTATATTTTCATTTTTTAATATAAATTAATGGTTTCATTGAGAAAATATTAAAATGACTTCTTATGATATCATGCACTCATCGGATGACCAATCATAGTTCAACATGAAATTATATCGAGCTAAAAATATTCAAGCCCAGAAAAAAAAAAAACAATCCAAAACTTTTATATTTTTATATATCAATAAAGTAAAAAAAAAAAAAAAGGTTTAAGGCACACGGGTTATGCTTTAATTAAAAGTGGGCTAGCTCCAGATTTTGAACACACGCGTTTCAAGCGAGTTTGTGACGTGGCGCTTGCGAATTTGGCCAATCAACAGCCTTGTTCTACTCCGTCTTCTTCGAGGACTAATGAGTTCGCCTTTTTAATTCTCTTTCTCTTCCAATCTGCTGGCGTTTTTGGATAATTTTTACATAAATAAAAATAATTTATATTTTCAGAGCCGTGATATGAAAACTATAATGATAACAAAAACTAAAACAAATGTCTTATTGAGCCACTAAAGATCCATTTATTTTTACCTATCAAAAATATTTTTGAAAATAATTATGATTTTTTTATTTTAAATTAGTTTGATATGTTGGTTTTAAAAATATTTTAAAAAAATAAAAAAAATAAAGCGCGTGGAAATACATTTTTTTCTGGCTAGCAATACAGATGGTCAGAGACTACGGGCTGGCCACGTGGCATGGCCCAATGGAAAAATGCAGCTTGTTGCCATTTCCTTTCCCTAAGTTTTTCCATGCAAAGTGCCAAACCACACAATAAGATGAAGAATTGTGAGTCTTAACTCTAAAGTGCCCTTGAGTGGAAGGGTCTCTCAACTGTAAACTGCCCTTGAGTGGAGGGGATGGACTCGTGTGAAGGACACCATGCCGCCATTAAGGAACCGGGTAGTTATGGAGTTGAAGAAGACAACCAAAATATTTACGAATTAGAAAGCTTGCCTTCCATCTTTCCCAAGTGTGTGCCGTGTTTTGGTTTTTAGAACACACGTGTAAGCTGTCCTACTCAAGACAGGATAAGTTAGTTAGGTCCCCCGCCCTTATTTTTTTATCACCAAAAAATTATCCAAGTTGCATGCCACATCAGGCGACCTATCATCCGGTGACATATCATCAGTTACAAAATCCCAAGACAAGAATGAATATTATATTGTTTGCTCTTGAGACAAAAAAAAAAAAAAACAAAAATAATATCAGCAAAAAAATACAGGATTTTTTTATTAGAGGCCAGGAGTGTGAGCTTTTTATTATTTTTTATATTTAAATATTGATTAATTTCATTTTTTTTTTATTTTTTAAACTATTTAGTTTAATTTTATTTTTAAAATGGTGATTGATCTTTTTTACATTCTTTTTTAGTGCTTGGAATGGATTAGTTTAATTTGTTTCTATATTTTTTCTTTTTTATATTTTATATAAATTAGTTGTATTTACATGATGCATTTATAAAAATAAAAATCATTTGTTATTAAATATGACAATTAGCCTCTTATATAAAATTATCAAAAACTTATAAAATAAAAAAGTATAATGAATGTAAAAGATTTGTGTATGCATTATCTTTTGCTTTTAGTCATTAATTAGTGTTGCTAATTTTATTTTTATTTACTAACTTATTTCTTAAAATTTATTTTATAAATCATAAATAACATCATCTTATTTCTCAATTAAAAAAGTTTATGATATATAAAAAGGCATAGAGAATGAAGTTATATATTTTTTTTTCATTTAGGATAGAAATTAATTTGAATCCACCCCGACTAACACCGATGGGCAGAGGATTAGTATAAGCTGTTCAATTTGGAACAAAGAAGAAATTATGAGCTCAATAAAAAAAAAATTGAAGTCAATAAAATTTTTCATTCTGGTATTAAAAAGTCGCACTTCACATATCATTATTTATTTATACAGTTAATTTCGCTTTATATTCCAAGTCAAGAATTCGTGAGCTCAATAAAAAAAATTCTAAAATTTTACAAATTTGCTATTATGATTGATTTAGGATTGTTTTGGTAGTATAATTATAATTTTTTTTAAAAATATTTTTATTTAAAAATATATAATAATAATAATTTTTTATTTTTTAACATGAGAATATAAAAAAATTAATTTAAAATAAAAAATTAATTTTTTAAAACAAAAAAATAAATAAGTCTTTAATATCTAAAATACCCTTACAAATTTTGATTGAAGAAAAAGATGAGAGATATACATGGATATTTTTATATTTTTTTTTAATATAAAACTGGGTTGACCCTGAATGTAAAAAATAATTGTTAAACATTAGAAAAATTCAAAAATTTTCCATGTAATTATTCCTATGATCAAGATCCTAGAGTATTTGAATCCGAATGGCAATAATAAAAAGAGCAGAATTTATTAACCATCATAATTAATTAGAATTCGAGATATTAATTATTGGGCTCCGAACTAAAAGATTGAAGGCAACTGAAGCAACATTTCAATGGGCGTGGTTTTTTTATATACAGAGGGTCGTAGACCGCGGGCTGGCCAAACGTGGAATTGACGCGCACAAGCCTCTCGAATTCGTTAGCTTTTGCCGCCTCCTTTGATCCACAGGAAAAATATTTATATTTCTCTATAACTACTCTTTAATTTTCAAGCATTCTCCAAATAAATAATCCATTTATCATCATCGGATCATCATCTTCTTCTTCTTCTTTCGTCAAACTCCTATTCATCATCAACCCGGTTACCATTCACTTATCATCATCTCCTTGTAGTTCTGTAACACATGGAGATGGAGCTAGAGCAATCCATGCAGAGAGAGGCCACTCCTAGTACTGCTCAAGCTATGCCCTCGAAGAGTACTTGGACTTCTACCATCTTGGCAAACGACGACTCACCATCAGTTACACCTACTGGTATTAGTAGTTCGTCATCTCCTTTGATATCATCTTCTGCTAAAGATCGTTTCCGTTGCTCGAAATCGTTTAGGGCACTAGATATTGGTGCCCCGAAGAGCAACAGTACCACTGATAAAAAGCTAGCATGGTTGCGCTCTCAAATCATTGGTGATGATGTAGAGTTTGATTCTCCATTTGGAAAGACAAGACTCACCTATGCTGATCATACTGCCTCCGGGAGATCTCTTCGCTATATCGAGAATTTTATCATCAACAACGTCCTCCCCTTCTATGGTAACTTCTTATTATTGCTTTTTTTTTTTTTTTTTTGCTATATATAGACTTGATAGTTCTTCTTCTTTCCATTTTCAAGTCAGCAAGAGCAGGATTCACGCTTGAAACCAGCTTAATTCCATAATCCTATTTGAATATGCAAGATTAAGAGCATCGTAGTTTTTTTTGCATGGAACCCAAGTCCCTGATCATAGATAGCTAGAAAGGTTCAACCAGCTGCGAGTCAACCAATTATCTTATAAAAAATTAAAACGATATTCGAAAAAAATTAAACTAAATTAAACTGGATTTTTTTTGGATGAACAAGCTGCGAGTCAAATAATTTTTTTTTATTATATTATATTAAATCAATTCTTTATTTAGTTTTTGTTGAAACTACCTCAAATCACTCTCTAAAATAATAAAAAATGTATGTAAATAAAGAACGTTGAGTTTCTTCGAGCACTGTTTGACCAGAATTCCTGGCAAGTTAAGAAAGTACATTCATATGGCGTCAATCGGGTGATTTTGCATCTTTTCCTTCTTTTCTTGCAACCATTTGCATGAAATAAATCTTTTATTTTTTATTTTATTTTACGATTTTGAAGATCGTTCAATTTCCTTCGCAGCGATAATTTATTCCTGAAGACACTGCTGTTCCTTTCGTTAGCAAACACGTTGCCACTGTTGTTTTCTTTTTTGGTATAGATTGTTGTTTGCGGTATCTTCTTTTGTGGGCGCGCGCCCATATTATCCTAAATATTAAAACGCGTGGGAATTTCCCCTAGTAGTTGCTGTTGTCCATCCATCCACACAAATTCCCCGTATTAGTTATTTGTTGAGAGAGAAGAGAGAAAGGTTATCTGGATTTTAAAAGTAGAAAATGAAAATTATTCTTGATATTGATTTAAATTATTAAAATAATTGATATTTGTTTTAAATATTTTTATTTTATTAAAAAAATTTATTTTAGATTTTTTTTGAAAAGATAAATTTGAGCTTGGATACATTTTTAATTTTAGGTTGATTTCAGTTTTTTTTATTGTTTTTTAAAGTTATGAATAGATTTATTATAATTTTGTAAGATTTTTTAATTCAAAAATAGGTTAAAAATTATTTTTTAAGTAAAAAAACTTAAAAGTTGATTTTCCAACCATTCTACATGGCCAAAATCTAAAAAGCCATCATCTGATAAATTCAATTAATGTATGTTGTTGTGTTGGTGTCATCCACCTCAAATATAACAAATAAATAAAGGGTTTAGTAGTGCGGGCCCTAACAAATGGGTTAAGTAAGTAGGTCCGATATCGTTTAATTTTTTTTAAATTATTTTTTAATATTTTTTATTCATTTTTTTATTTATATGTAGATTAATAATCATTCTCTATTTCATTTTATTTAGAGATTTTTTTTTAAATGATTTTTTTGTTATACATTTAAATTTTGGAGTTTTTTTAGTCCATCTATAATTTTTTTATTTTATTTAAAAATTTACTAGCTATTAAAACATATTAAAAAAATCTGTGTATATATTATTTTTGTTTTTAAAAAAAAATTTGGGCTGCAGCAAGGCGCAAGTAGAGCATCCAATGTTCATATTTATATACAGAACCCTGAGATATACATGCTCTAAATTAATGTCAACAGATTGGTTTTGAATTTAATTTATGTGCAAATATAATTTAACGACACTTGGATTTCTACCATTCACTTGAAAACATACATTTTTATAACTTTCTTAATTAGCTTTCTTGTTAAAATAAATTTATCTTTCGGTCGTTAATTATTAGGAATTAATGTGTGCAGGTAATACACATACTAGTGACAGTTATGTGGGACATAAGACCACAAAAATGTTGCATGAAGCTGCCGAATATATCAAGAAGTGCTTAGGTGGGAGCCAAGATGACGCAATCATGTTTTGTGGCTCAGGCACCACCGCAGCCATTAAGAGATTACAAGAAGTAATGGCCATTGCTGTGCCATCAACTTTGAGAGATAGGCTAATTAAATGCCTAAGTAACGAAGAGAGATGGTTGGTTTTTGTTGGTCCTTATGAGCACCACTCGAATCTGCTATCGTGGAGGCAAAGCTTGGCAGAAGTAATTGAGATAGGTTTAGACGACAATGGCTTGATAGACATTGAAGATCTAAGGCAACGACTTGAATCATATAAACATGCAAACAGGCCTATTTTGGGTTCCTTTTCAGCTTGTAGTAATGTGACTGGGATTTTCTCGGATACTCGAGGAATTGCTCGACTTCTTCATCAACATGGTGGTTTTGCTTGTTTTGATTTTGCTGCAAGGTAACAAAAAATTTATTCTTGTTTTTCCTTCTCCTTTTTTAACCATTTATGCGTGAAATGCACTTACACATTGCAATTGTTTATTGCATCATCAAGCATTAACTTCTTGGTTTATACATGTATATATTTATGCAGTGGTCCATACGTGAAAATTGATATGAGATCCGGAGAGATTGATGGTTATGATGCGATTTTCCTTAGCCCACACAAATTCCTAGGGGGGCCAGGATCACCGGGAATACTTCTGATGAGCAAAGCCCTTTATCAGCTAGGATCCTCAGCTCCATCAACTTGTGGAGGTGGGACTGTTGATTTTGTAAATGGCTACTGTGAAAAGGTATGCCTTACATGTTTCCTCTATTTGCTTCATATCAATGGGATAAAAAATGAGATGTCAACCTAAATTAAAGTTTCTTCATCAATTGCAGCATACATTGTACTTGAATGACATAGAGGAGAGAGAGAGTGGAGGAACTCCTCAAATAATTCAAACCATTAGAGCAGCATTAGCTTTCTGGGTTAAAGAATACATTAGCCACCGAGTGATTGAAGAGCAAGAGAATATGTACATCGCAAAGGCACTCCACAGGCTTCTCCCAAACAAGAATATATGGGTTTTAGGTAACACTACTGCTAAGCGACAAGCTATACTGTCCTTCCTCATATACTCCACCACAAACTCTTCTTCAACAAGCATGATACATGAGAGCAGCACAACTGATAGCAAAAACACCAACGATGAGGTTCTTTACATGTGGGGAGAGATAGGAAACAAAAGGGACAAGCCTCTTCATGGACCTTTCGTCGCAGCACTCCTTAACGACCTATTTGGTATTCAAGCTAGAGGTGGCTGTGCTTGTGCTGGCCCCTACGGTCATAGTTTGCTCCTTGTCAATGAGCCACGCTCCCTAGCCTTCAGATCTGCCATAAATAAGGTAAGATAGTTCTTTTAATATTTCTCGACAACATTCAATCACCTGCTGCTAAAGAACTGATGCTGTGATTTCACTAAATGTCAACGTTTGATGCCATTAATTAATACTCCAATGCTTCAATTGCAGGGTTATGTTGGAGTAAAGCCAGGTTGGACAAGAGTTAGCTTCCCCTACTACATGTCAAGTGAGGATTTTGAGTTCATTCTTGCTGCGATTGAGTTTACAGCCATTTATGGCCAGCGATTCCTCCCACTGTATCACTTCAATTGGAAAACAGGTAGCTGGACGTTCAGAAACAAGGAATTCAAGAACCCAGTAGACAAAGAAAACAATAATGACACCAACAAGTTCGCGTCATATTTTACGAGGGCTAAACACATTGCGAATCTGCTTCCCAAATTCCCTTCCCAACGAAAGATTCCTCGGGAAATAGACCTTGACCTCTTGTATTTCCGAGTCTAGTACCACTCCACCTCCTGCTGTTGGCTACTACTGAGTGTTCCTGTGTGGAGTCATGCTGGCATGTCAATTTTTCTTCTATTGAGGTATTCATTAGTATCACATTGATATATATGTGTATGTATATCAAGAAAATATACACATTTTTTTTTTAATTTCTTTTTACAGTTTATTTTTACTTGCTGCTGTCTATCCATAATATTTCTCTCTCAACTATGTGCTCCAATAAATGCATGTTTCGAATTATAGTGTAAAATAATCTTTAAAAATATTTTTATATAAAAATTTATTAAAATAATTTTTATATTAATATATTATAATTATAAAAAAATATTTAAAAACAATAATTTAACATTTTTTTTTAAATATACTTTCAAAAATACTAAAAATATAAAGTATTTTTCTTTTCTATTCTAGCTACTATATAAAAATAATATTTTTTTATTTTTTAAATTTATTTTTAATATAAAATATTAAAAAACACATAAAAATATTTTAAAATACATAAATAAACAAATTACATAGAAATAAAACTTTACCTATCTTCTTCCTCCTCCTCTTTCTTATCAAGATGGGTATTCATTATCAACTTAAAAACTTAAAATAGACTCATTTAACTTCCAATCTCGATGCAACAATGATTCATTAGAAATCCTCCATCCTAACAAACCTTTATCGTGAAATCTTAACTCTCTCTTCAGATCCACAGTCATTACCTGGGTTTTTACCAGTACTAACAAAATTCGGATTTTGAAACAAGAAAAGGAAACAATTTGCTTGCTTGGGAGAAGAAGGAAATGGAAGAATTGATTGAAAGGGAAATTTGGAGGCCAAAAGGGAGAAGACGACGACGACGACGACGACCAAAGGTAAGGGAAGTGGGTGTTTTGAGAGATGGAAAACGTGCCGGAGAAGCGGAGTGACAGTGAAGGGAACCAGGCAAGGCAAATATTTGCCCTCTTGGACAAAAATAAGAGTTTGGTATTCCAAAAATAGCGAAGTGGCTATCAATTCACAATAACAATCATACCCTTTTAAAAGAGTTTTTAATCCTATAAATTTAATTTAACTAGTTATATTTTAAATTTATTTTTTAAAAAATATTATAAATTTTATGGTTTTTAAATATTTATATAATTATTAATTTTAATATCTTAAAAAATTAATTAAAATATATACAAACTAAATTAATATCCACAATTAATTAAAAACAAATTACACTATTTTCATCTTGAAGATCAGTGGTACATGTCATCAAGGTGTTTTATATAAATTAATTGAAAATATATTTAGATATTATTTTATTTAATATCATTTAACTTTTACTATGTCTTCGAATAAGATTATAAAAAAAAAATTAAAATTTATTTTTAGAAATAAGTTACTATCTCAACTGATAATAGTTAAGTGATAATAAATTAATTAGAAAGAGAGGACATCCATGATTCAAGTCCTACCACTTGTATTTCCACGTAAGCGTGTAGCCAACTTGAAATCTCGAGCTAGCAGGCTCTTCCCTTGGTTTGGCTCCTAGAAATATCTGCTCACCCGTGGATCGCGTTCAGAAATGTGTCTATTGTATAAAAAATTGTTATTTTTTACAACCCGTCGTATTTTATTAGTTTATCCAGTGCCTTTGTTATGATATTTGATTTTTTTTATTGTATAATTAAATAAAAAAATATTTTTTTAAAAAAGTATTATACTCATTCAGGTTTTTAACTCAGATTTTAAATTTTACAAGTTAATTTAAATAATTTTAAAATTTCATTAATATTTTAAAATTAATATTTTGATTTTTTCTAAAAAATAAACTTGAGTTTTAAAATGTTATTAGATATATTTTGGATCGTGTATCATATATGTATATATATATATAGATATATGTTTTGTTGATTTTAAATTAATTTTTTTATATTTGTATATTATTTTAATGTGTTTGTATTAAAATATATTTTAAAAAATAAAAAATATATATTATTTTAATATATTGATTTTTAGACTTAGAGTAAGATTTGAGTATTTCTCATTGGAATGACAGCTAAGGTTATACAAGGGAAGAAGATGGGTATGATATTTTGTATATTCAATGCAGGGTTTGCAAGGGAAAAATAATGATAATTTTATATATAATTATTATTATTTTCGTTGAACTTTTTTTTTGGGAGAATGTTAAGTGTTAGTGTGTAGAAGCTTATGATGTAAAATTAAATTTTTTAAATTATAACATGTATTATAGGATATTAAGAATAAATTTTTAAAAAATTAAAAGTAGAAAACTTGAACCAAACGAAAAGAATTTTCTTTAATCCCTTTTATAAATGAGTTTGGAACTAAAATTGATATAGAATTAATTCTAGTAATTCTTAAAATAAATTGCATCCATTATTATTTTTGATTGTCCACCATGAAACCCTAATTAAACCTAAATTTTTTAGTTTAAAATAAGATGTCTTTTAAACTGAAAAACTATTTAGGTTAGAGAAAACTCGAAAAAAAATGATCAAATTCTATGTTGGGCTGAACAAAATAATGGGTTAAAAAAATTAACTTATGTGAATAAGAGTGTAAAACTTCTGCAAAATCCTGTGCAGAAAAATCAACTTCAAAACACTTTTTTCAACCCTTTTTATAGATGAGTTTGGAATCAAAACTGATATAAAATTAATTCCGGTAATCATAAGAATAAATTCCCTCCACTATTAGCTTTAATTATTCATCATAAAATCAAAATTAAACTTGAATATTTTGGATTTAAATGAGAGAGAACTAATTATATTAATGGGTTGAAAAACAATTATTCCAGTAAAAATATTTTTCAGGTTATAGAAAACTAATCATATTCTATTATTAATGGGTTGGACAAAACAAGAGTCTGAAAAAATTAATTTAGATGAAGAAGTTGCTCAAAATTCTATAGAATTTTGAGTAGAAAAATCAACTACAAAACACCATTCTTCAACCCTTTTTATATACGATTTGGAACCAAAACTGATATAGAATTAATTCTAGCAATTACATTAATTGTCAACTTTTATTATGCATCATAAAATCATAATTAAAGTTGAATATTTTGGTTTAAAATCATATATATTGTGAGCTAAAAAAAAACTCTTTTGGAATAAAACTATTCAGATCCTATCTTTCATGGATAGGGAGGTGAAAAAAGTTAATTTTTTATTTGCCAAAGAATTATAAACCTACATAATAGTTTAGCAAAAAATAATCCTTTTGTAGCTATAAAAAATATTTTATAATAAATCCAAATTCATGCACAATCCGTGCAGGTGAATGGATTTAAATTTAAAGCCTATTTTAAAAAAATATTTTTGGGTGTCCTTTAAATCTATTTTTTATATTTTCACTAAATAAACCACTAAAAAAAACTTATTTCTTTTCTCTGTGTAATATAACTTCTACAAGGTTATGAATTTTTTCAAAAATATATCAAGTAGAAGTTTTTTTAAAATTAATTTATTATTTATTTATAATTTATTTAAATCATGTTCAAAATTAAAAAAATTAAGTTGATTAAATTTCATTGAAGTTTTTACCAAGTAGACCCCATTTTTTAACTGGCCAGAAATATACTCATTATCCATGATTTAAAACAAAATTCCAGCCCTTCACACATGCACGCAAACAATCTTTCAACTCAATCTCAACTGTTTAAAGCATCAATGATTGCATCAATGGGTGCTAACTTTTTGAATATATTAACTTTGTGAATAAGTCATTCATAGGTGGAAATAGACATGAGGTCTTAGGTGATTGATGGCTATGATGCTGTTTTTCTAAGCCCACAAACTCCTGGGGGACCTGAATCATCAAGAATGCTTTTGATGACCAAAACTTTTTATCAGTCCAGATCTTCATCACAGTCAACTTGTGGAGATGGAACAGTCAATTACGTAAATGGTTTTCATGGAACAGTTTGGCTTAGTAATACCCCTTGTTAACTGTACTAATGTTGATGTTTGTTCTAGGGTTATGCTGGGGTAAAGCCAGGATGGATAAGAGTGAGCTTCCCTAGCTACATGTCCGATTAGGAACTCAGGTTCATTCTCACAGCTATAGAGTTTATAGCAATTTACAGTCAGAGATTCCTTCCATTGTATCAATGCAACTGGAAAACTGGCTGTTGGAATTACAAGACAAAGGGATTGAAGGACCTAGTGGGTAGAGAAAGTGGCAGTATTCATTTTCTTGCCATTGGAAAATATTAAACATCCTGGGATTGTTAATGCAAGGGACCTCGTGCTCAACAGCCTTGAATCTTGAGATGATGTCGTTCACAGAAGTAATTACAAAGGGGACGCAACAGTTAGTCATTCTATAATGAAAACTAGTGATGGACAAGTCAACTGGCTTGTTGCATCGACTGATAATGGGATGGTAGCAAATTGAAGATGATTCACAAATTCACCAATTAGTTTAATTCTGGTAAGCTTTGACTTGCTAAGATTCAAATAATTGATTTGCCTAGAGAAATCTAAACTGATAGCAACCAATTAAAAATCGACCACTGAAAAAAGTCTTTCCATTTCCCACTTCCATGCTGGCCCTTGTGTAGTAATCATAGCATACAACGACAGTTGATACTAAACAAATTGTCTGCTGATGGATTCACAATTAGCACCTGTATCTTTGAGATTGACTGAATCCAACCCTTTCTCAGATTTGACAATCCAGCTTGATCTTGGAAAATTATGATAATAATGCAAGTAAAAGACCTGTTACCGTGGAGACATAGCCTTTGTGAGATTGCAAGTCCACCTGCACATGGGAGCTGAGAGTCTCAGACCAACATATCAATGGCACGTTTTTTTGAGAATACAAAAATAATGTGCTGCTACTGTTTCAACAGAAAAGAAGCTTCAATCCTATTGTAGAAAAAGATAAACAGCCACAAAGTTAGCAAACAAGACTGTGGCAGCAGGACCATAAACTGTCACCAAGAAAAAGAAAAATGCTCAGCGGATATCATAACAACAAAGTTGTTTCTGTATCAACATGCTTGATTCCTATTCCTTGCAACACTTAACTTGGTTTGACAACTTGTCCAACCCAAGTATGTGCTACTAATTACGTTCTTGGGAGGAGACAGTGAACCCAACTTCCAGGTTGATCCAGCCTCTGGCAAGCGTGGAGGATTCAAGGGTGGTGGAGCTTGCTGAT